GACCTAGAAAATTTTATCACAGACACTTCTTCCCGCCGTGACCGCGGGTTTCATTCCTCGTTGTTCGAACATTATTAACCACGTTGTTGGATCGTAACAAATATTAATCAATTTCACTCGAACAATATACAATACTACCATATCACATTCAACATCGTTAAAACATCTCATCCTCGTTACATTACATTTCTCGACGAATTTTTAAATATCAACAAGTTTCCACTCCCCATCGTTGCCACCAACCATTTCCAACTCGAGTCAGCCAAAGGGAAAAAATGAACGAACGAAATCCTCGACTTATCGGCAGAATAAGGCAGAAGTCGAGCCACACCGCACCTCAAAGCCTTGGAAAGGTTCTCGAGAATCGATTACGGCGCACACGTGCATCCACTCTGATATTTCATTTTCGCGTCTCTTCACGCGGAGGGGATCGCGAAAACGTATGCATGAAACGACATGTCGCGTGATTCGAAACGCGCGAATTCCCTCGTCACGTGAGGGGGAGGGCAAGGGAGGCCACACACCGATACAAGAAGGGGGGATGGGACGAGAAGAAGAGATAACGTTTCACGGGACCCTCCGCGAGGATCTGGCGGTCTGCTGCTCTAATATTAGATCCCTCTGCCTAATGCGTTTCTTGCTATATCGTTTCTGGCCCACGGATGATTTATTCCTCGATGCTTCTGAGAGATCTGCTTCGATCTCCCAGACGGAGGGGATGGGATAATGGGGGGAAGGTAATAAGAAGGGAATAAGTGGTGGAAAATTGGCCGCCACGATGATAATTGCCAGGCCTTACGACAGGTGGTGGATTCGGAATTTTCGTTTGAGAAGGTTTGGACAATTATGGCTGGGTGGCTGCGGTCGGGAGAGTAGTAAAGTCGAGAGGAAAATTGTTGGTACGCGGTTGGTATGCGATGGTAATTGCGAAATGTGAAAGGTTCGTAGCGGATGCGATTGGATTTTCGTTTCGAGCAGGTTTTACGAAGAATTATGAGCGATTGTGTTTTGAAATAGTTGTAAAGTAAGTTGTGGAAAATTGGCGGTACGATGATTGTTTAAATGGTAATTGCCAACGTGCAGGTTTATCATAGATGCATGAGATTTGAAGAGTTTTACGAAGAATTACGTGTAATTTGTTTGAAACAGTTTGATAGAAAATTGTAAAAAAATTAATCACGTACAACGAGCACTGTTTGTTGGATTAATTTAATTGATTCGACGAGATATTGAAATATACTCTGAAATTAAGTAAGCTGGCCTATGATCTAACGATATCAACAGAATTTATCCCTACAATTCCCTCGAATTTCAAAAGAATCCTAATTGCCTAGATACCTTCTCGTTCGACCATCATCTTAAATACACATCCCTGGAAACGTGTTATTAACCCCAAAGACAAATGTTCACGGACATCAACCAGTGAATCTTCTCATCATCCGCCCTTTTAACTAATCGCCTCCTCGTACCAAGCGCTCGACCTCCAACAACAACCAACTGCAAATTGAGGCAACGTACATCATCGGCTTCGTCCATGCGTGAAATCTCGAGAAACGCAAAGGTTGTGCGCGATGCATAATAAACGGTCGAAACGCGTTTTCGAGTGAAAGTGGACGAGGACGTCGATGGTTGTGCACACACGCGCCACGACTCGTCCTGGGAGTCTGTCTTCATTGAGAAAGACAGGAATTCCCACAACGTGGCCTACAGAGAAGATGCATCCGACAGAACGCAACCGAGTTCAACGCACCTCGAGGAAAAGCGTTGCGAAAGTATTCCCGTCGTTTATCGTCGATTTGTCGTCGAAAATGCGCCGGAGAAGAATATCCAAGTAAACGTAAATGGACGTTTCCAGTCGTGTAAGACGTTGTTCGAAGAATAATTGATCGGAGAAGAAGAATAGCTTTTGAGAGCTGTCTATTACGTTTCGAGTGGTGTAATGGAAATTGACGCGGTGAAGGGGATTTGAAAATACGTACGTGATGAAGGCTAAAAGGTGATTTAGAAGGTGATTGAGAAACGAGAGAAGGCTGTTTGCTTGTAGAATTGTTTGAAAATTTGAGATGCGGACTTGGTTCGAAAATTTAGGAGTTTAGAAAGATTATAGAAGATCGGTTTATAATAATTTCAATATTATTGAACACGATACCTCGCTGATATAATATAAACCGCGTACACTACCTTCTTCTATGGTAAATACGGTGTCTATAATAAGATAAAACGCGGCGATATTTTTAGTCGGGATATTAATATTATCCATGCAAACTGGTACAATCTTCCCTGGTAGCTTTATTACGCGCGATATCGTAACGTGAAATACGAAGAGCAAGTTAATAAAAAAATCTACAACTTCGAGAAAGTGAACGAGAAGAACTCACACTTTCGATTCTTTAAATATTTCAAATCTTTCTTCTTTCTATCGTTCAAATTCTTCAGAAATGATTTCGATATACTTTCTACATTCGTCACGAGAAAACAAAAATCCATCCAAAACTTCTCTTCCAACAATCTCACTCCCTCCAGCGAATTTAAACCAATTTCCCCGTAATCAACAACATCCCCTCCCCTCAGAGGTGCGTCGTCGACTCACGAGGAAAATTGATGGACAACGAGGTGGAACTAGCAAAAAGAGGCTTTTCTCTTTAAACTCGTTCCAAGTCTGGCGGTTCGTCGCAGCTCTTGGGCAAGAAAAAAATGGCCCGGCACCGGGCGAAAGCGGGCGAAGAAAATACACAATGGAAGGAGGAACGTAGGAGGAGAGGAGACGGATAGAGAATTGATGAAGAAAGAGTCGAGTAACGGTGAAACCCGCCAACTTTATCTTTCCCGTTAAGCCGGCTGTTCAGCCGCGTTAAGAAGAAAAACGGGATTACCTTTTCCTTTCTCGATTATAAACCGCTGAAAATCTCCATTCGAAAGTTCGCCGCTCTTCCTTAACTAGCTCTATAAAACTCGCCTTTTCTCCCTCGCGACCTGTAATTCTCCGATAGAGGCCGTTTTTTCCTTTCTCTCTCTCTCTCTCTCTCTTTGTCTCCCTTTTTTTCCATCCATTTTCTCCCTCTCGCACGGAATATGTTATTAACCCTTTTAACGAGCACCATCTTCCCCCCTTTTTTTATCTCTCTTATATTTTTCTTTGTCGTTTCTTCAACACCCTTTATTGTCCTCCTTTTTTTTTTTTGTTATCTTTAGCTTAGTGTATACGAGGATAGTTTAGAATAATAGGTCAGAATATAATATAATAAAGGAGCAACGATATATTTGTGAAATTTATCAGATATTGTGAATGTTGAGAAAGAAATTTGCAACGAATGTTATTCTTGTAAAATTTTGTTTTTTTTTTTTTTTTTTTTAGTATTTTTACGTATGTAAAAATAATTTAAAAAAATAGGTTATTTGAATGATTGTGCTTTATAATTGGATTGTTTAATTGTGAAAATAAATATCTTTAGGAATACATATCGAAAATGAAATATTTACAATTGGATGTGTGATATTCACTTTCTTTTAAATTATTGAAAAGACAAGCGGATAATTTGGATTTTATCTCTCTTAATTTCTTTCTTCATCCTTTATCAACAAAGATAGAATTCGTGAAAATATTGTAGATATTTATCCGTGAGAAGACATTTACAAAATACGAATGGCTTTAATTCTTTTTTGAAAAATTTCAACCGGTTCAATTTCAAAACACTCGTACACTCTCAGCAAAATTTTTAAGATATTTACATAAAAACAGAATTTCGTGGTTTCGTGATGAAATTTCTTGGAAACAAGAATCAAGTATATAAAATTTTTAACCGGATAATTAAAAATTCAAAATTTCTTTCGCTCGATGTAAAGAAATTTTTAAAATATTTTTCTCTCTCGCACAGACAGATGCATGAAACGTTTTTTGGTCTCTCGTCTTGGGAGACGAAACAAATTCCATGAGTTAAAAAATGAAAAAAAAAATAAACTGTAGAAGGAAAGAAATATTTTAACTGGGTAGAAAAATAAAATTTACTAAAAAGAAGGAGAAATTTAAAAACAAGAAAAAAAAAAAAAAAAGGTAGAGACCGCTAAGAAATTAAGCATCGTTCGAAAATCTAAAGTACAAATCGTTTTGATTAACACAGTGTGATCTGATGTGATTTCGATGATAAAATTATTTCAACGTGATTGAAAGGGAAATAACAAGTGACAAGCCGGCAGACAAAAGGAACGTCTGCAAAACGAAACTTTTTCAGGGATTGGAATATCCAGGAGGAGGAGATTCCCTCTCGAAGCTGTAAGAGAGAGAGACAATTCAATGTGCAGTCTCAAAGTATCGTCAGCCCACTTCTAATGGTATTGCCACTCGATTTCAATTTCGTCTCAACAACGATTTCCATCTGTCACCGTGCCCCATTCGGTAAAACTTTCTAGAATGGAAATGGAATATGCCGTAGACTCGAGTAGGATCGACAAATGGAATCAGGATTTAGCTTTAATATCTCGGCGAAAAATAAAGTCAAATAGAAATTGCAAATAATTGCTTCTACTTGGAAATATTATATTGAAAATGTTTTCTTTCTTTTTAGATAAAAAAAGGGGAGATGAAAAATTGTTCCTGTTATTTTTCAATTCATTCAACAGTTTTCTGTTTTTCTAATTTGCTAAATTAAACAAATATTTTTTCTTCTTTTTTAATCAAATTGCAAACAGAAATGGAAAATACGAAATATGTACATTGGAAAATTTTATTTTTATTTTATTATGAACAAAAATAAACATGATCTGTGCAACATGTGAACTATTTTATTCGTAACTCCCATTTCTGGAATCTTGAAATAAAATTATACTGCTTGTGCTTTTAAAAATTTGGAAAAAAAAAAAAAATAATAATAAACGAGGAACTCATAAATGTCTTCAATTTCATTATTATACGATCCATAACTTTTACAATTGTGCAATCTTTCTATTCTCCTATAAAAAGAAAACAAAAAGCTAAGATTTTTACCACAAACTTTCCTCTTAACTTTTCCTAAATCAAAATACCGAAAATCTACATTTCCTCTACCCACTTTCGATTCGCTTTGATCAATAAAAAAAAACCTCAAAAAAATCCCAAATTTAACACTAGAAAAAAAAACTTACACAAAATTCCATTCATTTTTACTCACTCCATTCGATTTTTTCACACCACATCTCCCCCTCCCCACTCTTCAGGATACGTACGTGTATATAAATCTCGGCAAAACAAGAGAGTACATTTGCAAATCGATAATAAATCAACGTTTGATCGCGGCGGAGGGCGAACAAAGGCCGATACGAGGCAAAATCTATGAATATAGTTTCGTGGAAATGCGGAGGATCGAAATAGACAACAAATCGCGCACGAATTCAATTTCATTTCGGCGGAGGTTCCGCCACAGGAGAGAGCAGAGATATCGCCGGTTCCAGCCAATGGCAATCGTTTTAAACGCGAATCGATCACACTTTCCGCGCGAGTTGCACCACTGTTATCTTACCGGTGGCGTTCTTTTTCCTTTTTCTTTTTTTTTCTTTTCCTTTTTTTTTTTTTTCCCCCAATTGGAATCGAGCCAACGCGGAAGAAGCTTCTGAACATCTGAACAGCTCGAGCGGCCTATCTCTCGCAGCCAGCCATTAGCCTCCTCGCGACTTGGCAAAATGTACAACGAAAATCATCGATCACCCGTGACTCTAGATACTCTAAAATCTGTAAAAATAAGATTCGTAGAGATTCTCTGTTCCCTCCGCGTGACCCAATTTTCGTTAGATTTTGTTATATTTTGTTTTCGTAAGTATTTGAGACGTTTGAAGAAGAGTCGAGGAGGAATCTTTTTTGGGAAGTATTTGGTACGTTTCTTTGATCCAATTAAGAATCGGAGGTGTTTATTTATGGAGTGATAGGAAGTTAGTGAGTAAAGTGGAAAGATTGAAATTTTCTTGAAAAAATTTGGAATTACGAAATTTATAAATGTTTCCTTGGTTTAATTAAAGATTGCGTTAAGAATTTTTATTATTTGTGGAATTATTGACGGAAAAGTGGAAATTTTGAAGATTAATAAATTCGAAGAAATAGAAATCTGAAATTTTTTGAAACTTTGTAAGATTAAAAGAATTTCTTTGGGACGATTCAATCGATCACCGATGAATCATTTGCATCATCCGAAAATGATAATATATCAATAAAGGATGAATCAAGATAGCCTATTTCTCAATTAAAAACTCCACCCGAACGCGTATTTAAAAATCAATAATGATTAATTAATTCATCGTAATTCTCGGCTTAATGTATTTTTAATGATGATGAGCCAACTCGTTTCCCTCGGTTAAAATATTGACGAGTTTATGTATACGCGAAATGTTATTATTGGATAATAGCATACATTTGAAACGGCACGCTTATACCGCTGTTTATAACGATAAAAACGGCTGAGCGTCTTTATACGTGCGTTCTGGAATTCTGATTGCCACGTCACTGCATTACTATTCCTTTTATTCGGATACTCGTGGAACGACTAATTCACAAACCTGAATCTCTGTGTCGCTAAGAAATGCAGGGGTGCGAATCGGTGAAATATAAGACAACAAAGTTTTTCCACCCGTTCGAACTATTAAATATAATAATGGAAAAATTGCTTTCTACAATTTTTACAGTCCGTTAAAGACTTTTAAATGACATATAAAATACCCTCGTGTCTCGTGTATACGATATCAAAGGAATTCTCTTGTAATTTTTCAAATGGAATGAGTGACAGTATTTAATTAAAACATTTTTCAATATTTTTTACTGATTAAAGTGTCCTTTACACGTATCCCTTAAGGTATACTTTTTTAAAGCTTATATAGAATTTGCAGAATTTTTATGAAATAATTAATAATCACTTTTGCCAGAGATAAACTAACTCGTGATAATTATATTATACAAAACAAATACGTAAGAATAAAAAAAAAAGAATTATACATTCGCAATTTATACTGAAATTTATTTGTTGGACGAAAATGTTCGACTTTCTTTTCGCATCCACGATTTCTCATCTTTAAATTGAAGTCAAATATTTGTCTCTGAAAGATGCAAATCTCGTACCTTTATGAAAGCGGCCGGGCAACATGCTGCATCAAAGCAAGGAAATATTTAAGTATAAAAATGAAGTACTCTATCATCCTTAGCATCGACCGTCCATACTTTTAAAAATTGAAACACTGCATAAAAATAAAACGAACAACAAAAAATTATAAAAAGAATGAAGTTTACAAAATTTTTAATTAGAAAAAAAAAAATGTCAAATCAATCCTTAAAATTCCTTTAATATGAATTATGGAAAAAAATTTTTCAACACGAATTAACAAGGATACAACTGCAAACAGGTAACTCAAAGATTCATCGATCAGAAACGTAGAAAAGAACGAAAGATGACTAATGCAGTCGACATCCCAATATCCCTCTTTAGAAATTCCAGAAAGGTATTTTACGGTTCCCTGCTCGAATTTCAGCCCGATCTCCGTATTTTCTCATTGATTTACAGCCTCGAGGCAAAAGATCCCCCGAATCCATTTGAAATTAAACCACCATCTAACAACGAAACGGCCTATCACTCGGCCTCTACTCTCCACTAACGTATCGTTTGCATCGTCAGCATGCATCTGCAGCATGCATCGTGAATCGAAGATAAACGAGGCCTGTAATCAATGCGCACTCGCGATATCGTTAAACGAGATCGAATACTAATTTCGAGAACGCATGCGAGTATGATATGGAAACGATGATCTTCGTCCAGCTGCGCACAGAGTTTCGTTCAATTGAACGAAATGATCGTTAATTTGCATGGAAATGATTGAACAGATTTGTGGAAATTATGGAATAGAAATTTTTTAACTGTCGAGGGATGAACTTGTCGAGAGAAGAAAAGAAAATATTTGTCGAGATAAATAGAAAAATATCTATGTATTGGAATATAAAAGAAGGAGAATTGTACGATATTTATTATTCTCTTCAAATGAAAGAGCAAATATGATTTGGAAAAAAGAAATATTGAACAAGTTAAATCCATTAAACTTGATTAAAATTTTATTATAATTGTACAATGATTGTTGAAAGAACGAATTTCTATATTTTCCTTATTTAAATGACAAATATTTATTTGAAGAAATAAGTTCTTAGTAAGAACTCTAATTCATTTACATGCCTTACGAAGAACCTTCATGAATATTCTTTTCGTTTATAAAAGATGAAGTATATCTCTTCAGAGAGATATACCAATCTAGAAACAGAATACGTTTCTCAGTATACGTTATTTATACTTCATTTTTTTTTCTTGGAAATTTACGATAAGATGAATATATGATTTCCATAACTAAAATGAGCAAAAGAGCACTGTACTTTTTTCAATATTTTTTTTTAAATTTTAAACAAAACCTACGAATACAAGCTTAACTTCTGTACGAACCATGGATAAACAGTTTTAACGCCAATACGAGCGCCATTTCTCGTAACGATTCGATTCGATTCGTGGATGATAAGCACTGCAAATTACTTTCAAATCAAATCGTTTCGTGATAAAGGAGGATCGCTGAATGTGAATTGGATATAAACTTGGATTCTCGTTCGATCGAATGACGCACTTTTCACTGGAAATTGAAACGTTTCAACTCAAACTTACAATTTGATCATGAAAGCAAACAAATCATTTTAAAACGAATCCTTAATTTTAAACAAGAAACTTACATTAATATTGTTCGTCTTTTTTTCAAAAATATTGCTTACCTATCTAAGTTACTTTCTCCGTCACGCTACAAATTCGCTTTTTATTCTCTAAAGAAAATCACAAATATTTTTACCAATTTTTATCATTCTAACTTTCCTTGGGAAAAAAGTCACTCCTATTCAGATCAAACGTTATCAAACTTCGGATTATAAGTATCACAATCTCCCCAAAATCCAATTACCTCTCGCCACCCAACTCTAACTCCTCTCCAAGAACGGGAAAAAAAAAAAAAAGTACAAAGTTGCTGGTTCCCTCAAACAAAATCCTCCCCCAAACCATACCGCAAACAAAAAACAAACTTTATCATCGAGTACCCTCGCCCGAAAGAGATCAATGTCTAAAAAGCACCTCTCTGCCTCTACTTGACCGTACCCTCGAAAATTAGCCAAGTCGTTGGCCGACCCTTTGAAAAGTAACCCCACGTATATACCTTTGCACACATGTTCGAGGAGGCTGGCCAAACGTCATCGGCGCCCCATCTCGGAATCGATTCGCAATTAAATCGCCTCTTAATAAACGAGAAACACTCGGGTGCAACTCGAAACGAAGGAAGATTATATCGAATGTACATTTGCGAATGTGCACGCGTGTGTTGCAACGATGTAGACCCGTAAAGTCTGGGCGCGTGCAGCCAGTTAATCAACGGATGAGCCGAAAGCCAACCGGTCAAACTGGAGGGTGTGTCATTCGTGCTCGCGCCCATCAACCTCGATTTCGTGTATGTGTGCACGAAGGTGTATACACGTGCGTGCCTACCCAGCTGCCAGTTCGGAACAATCTGGAGGCTATAAATTGCGGCTCGAATATATTGGAAGAAGCAGGGAGAATCTCGCGTCTAAGCGGATGATGAATTGTTAATAATTGCCACGTGTTCACGCGTGGCCTTGGACGGTGGAGAGGCGAGTCAAATCAAAGTGGGGATTCTGGGGGGGAATGATCGAAGATGGAGACGAAATGGAGGAGATGAAATTGTGACGAGTTTAAGATTTTCGTGTTTAATGTTTCCGTTTGAGTATGTTCGAAGTGATCGGAACAATGTTTTTTTGCTTGTTTCGACAATTTTTCCAAGTTCGAAATAAATTAAGAAGGAACAATTTAATAATTCCAAGCGAGAAAGAAGATAAAAAAAACCGTGCAATATTTGCAACGACCTTTCACCGAATATCTTCCTATCCGCAAAATAATCCGCAATTTGCGTATTAATGCGCGGGGATCGGCCAGCCATTGTTTTCGCGGTTAATTTCTATCTTTC